GGGGGGGGGGGTGGCTAGCGCGAGGCGTACCACGGGCGTGACATCAATTGGCGCCCACCAGGATCGACCTGGTGGGCCTGGCCGATCCGCGTCCCTGACGCAGCGCCGAATGGCATTTACAACACGACCCGCATTCTTATCGCCGGCTGCGTAATGGGCGACAAAACACAACAAAACACGCGCGGGTAACACTAAAAAACCGTGGCGCGTCATTTGGGTTTTAATGGGGCTGTCCATTTCGGACTTTGCATCGCGGTACGTGTTGGCCGACCAGTCCGACACCTCCACAGGACAACCTTCCGCATGACTCTTCCGTCACGTCACAGCGCGCCTGCGACGACGCCCTGGGCAGCGCACAGCCGTCGCCACCCACACAAGACGCCCCGCTGAGACATCGACCCGGGCGGTGGCCGCGCGCGGGCAGCCGCAAGGCGCACACATGCTCGCGGGGGCTCGCGCCCGTGACCCCCGCGCCGTCGCTGCGCCCCTTGGGCTTGACCCTGGCTCAAGCAAGGATGCAAGCGCCTCACGCTGACCTTCTCGCTCATTCAGGGCCGACAATCAATGGGCCGAAGTGGCCTTGCATAATTCCAGGAGACGGATGGGGCGCGGGGTGCCGAGCAGCACGAGTGAGTGAACCGTGTGAACCTGAGACGCGGCGGGGTGGGGCGGGCGTCGTGTAGCCACCATCAGGGTGGGGCGCGCAAATGACTGGGCATCACTCATGCTCGAGGCCTTGTAACTGTCGCTGTCGGCCGCTGCATTCAAGTCTCTCTCTAGACTCACCAGCCCGGGCGGGCCCGTGAGCGTGTGGGTTTTGCCGCTGCCCGTCTGGCCGTAGCAGAAGACGGTGCAGCTGAAGCCCTCCACGGCCATGCTGATGAGGCGGCGCACGCCGCTGTAGTTGAGCACGTCCTCCTGGGTGGCGCCGGGCTCGAACACGGCGTTGAAGGAGAAGAGGCGCGACTTGGTAGCGTTGCCCGAGCCGGGGCTGGAGCCGCCGGCCGGCAGCGGCGCCCCTTCGAGCTGCGCAAAAGGCAAAGAAACATTCATGCCACCGTGTTCGTATTTTCTTTTTAAAAATTGTGTTTTTTTGTTTGTTTTTATATTTATTTCATGCAAGAAAAATGATGGTTCTAACATGGTACTAATGTACTTTTTACCAACCGCATCGTGATGTTTTTTGAGTGTTTTTGTCTTTTTCTTTTTTTCAGTTGTATTGGAACATTAGTGTCCTCCCTAGAGAGCTGCTATGGCGGTAAAGACTGTGTTCCTGGGTCGCAGACCGATCCATCGCTCCCGGGGGCGCGGCCGGCCGGCCGCGGTCAAACTTTCGGCGCGGCACGCAACTGGACGCGCGCGGTCCGAGCGGCGCGGGGGTCACCGGGCCAACGTAGAGAGGGAAGAGGGGGGGGGGGGGGGCAGTACTATAGTAGCAAGTGATGAAATATTTCTGATCCTTTTCGCTTTCCACCCCTCCCCTCCACTCTGCGGTCATTCATCAGACCTCCTTCTCCCCCACCCCCTTCTCTGTAAAGGCTCCGCGTGGCTCCGCTTAGGAATTTTAATTTTCAAAATGATATTTTTAGAATCTTTTGGGAGGATTTTTAGTCAAAACGTTGGTTGTTTCCCTTCCAAAGTTTCTTTTCTTGTGATTGTTTCTGGATTTATCAAATTCTGCCTAGTTTTACCCGTAAGGTTTCCAATTTTTTTTCGGAAAAAATCGCACTAGGAAATTTCTGGTTCCACCCCTCTAATTTCTGTTCCCAGGTTCTGTCAGTCCCGCTCCCTGTCAGTGCGCTGCCTCCCAACTCCCGCTCACCAGCAGCTGTCCGTTGCCCGGGAACTGCACGACGAAGTTGTCCTTGGCCTTGCTCTCCTTGTTGCTGAGCGGGCGCACCCGCACCACCACGTTGATGTTGTCCTCGCCGGAGCCCGGCGGTGGCGCGGGCGCGGGCCGAGCCGCGTCCTCGGGGCTGTCCGACAGCGAGCCTCCCGATCGGCTGTAAACAGAGAGATGCCCACGTGAAAGCGACTACTATCTTTCTTGCATTCCGTTTGTAAAAACCATTGTTACGTCGTGGATTATCTTTACGGTGCAGATCCCATGAGGTCGATGCCGTCGGACAGCGGCGGCGGCGGGTCGCGCCCATGTGCCGGACTGTGCCGACGCAAACTACTCGCATCGGACTAAATTACTTGGGCATTAGCGTTTGCCCTTCCTACCCCCTACCCCCACCCCGTTAGCAGTTCACAGTGTCCCTCCTCCCCTCACCCCTAACCGCGCCGCCAGACCGACCAACCCCCGGGAAAAAGCAGTCGAAGGCCGTCTGTTGGACGCTATATGTCCGCGTCACCAAATCGCGACCCCGCAATCAAATAAAGGGTGGTGACGCAGACGCACTGGTGCGTGGCGCAGACGTCCCGGCCGCTACCAGTCTGGTGTGTTGTGCACGACGATGTCGTCCACGGTACGCCACATTGCGGCACAGCGCAGCGCCGGGGCATGCAGCGGCAGGCAAGGCCAGAACCGTCATTTGTCGTGTGCAGGAGGTGTCGGGGTCGGCGGCGCGGGTCGGCGTTCAAAAGACGTTCACAGAATGGGGCCCCCGACCAGACCAGGCGGGCCCCATACCCCATACTTTGGCCACGCCCCGCCACGCCCCGCCACGCCCCACTCGTCCAGGTGCGCACAAAGCTCGAGTCTTCACACGACTCGCCCCGCCATGTCGCCGCCGCCGCTCTGCCTCGCTTCTGCATCGATTTCCGCGAGTGCCGAGAGTCGAGAGGTCACTCGAAATGATGTGCTGCTATGGCTCGTCTTGCTCACCCCCGCCCCCTATACCCCTCCGCTTGTTCTGTTGTTGGTTGGTGCGTGTGTACGAAAGTAGCGTGTTTCCCGTTCCAACGAGGAGATCGCGGCGCGCGGCCAACGCCACGTCAAACACTAACGACAAAGCGGGACCCCGCCCGGCTTCTTTGCGGGAGGGCCATGACGGCCAGGGCAATAAGCGATCAGGGCCGTTGTTGTTGTCCCGTGACGGGGGAGTTCCGGTCGCTCCTCCTCCCGGAAGCGGCCACTTCCGGACCGCGAAATGGCGTTATCGACTAACTTGCGATGATGATGGATTCATTCCTTCAGGCATGTCCCCAGCCACCGCCGCCGCCGTGCATGCTGCGCTGCGCCCCTTTCTGCACTCAGCCCGACCCTCGCCCCCGCATTCACCCCGCGTGACGAAGACACGTGCTGGGTGACGGAACGTGAGCGGGATGAGGCGTACTGTATCTCCCAGAAAGTATACGCACGTTTCTTTTCCTCTCTCAGATTCATTCGGCAAATTGCGTTGGAGCTCGGCGCTCGGCGCCTGCGAGACTCGGAGTAGGCCAGCCCGCGGTGCACGCATGCACTCCGGGCGATATGTTGCCTACCCATCAGGCGCTATGATGATAGCTTAGGCTGGGCTGGGCAAGATCGTCACGACGAATGAAGGACGTACTATCTGGATGATCCTGAAGAACCATACACTTACGCCTCCCTGACCTCTGACCTATATACCGGAGACAGGTGAAATTGGCAGCTAGGGAGCGTTTAAGCGCGGGCGCTTTTTTTAGCTTTGAACTGCGGGAACACGTTTTCGACCTATTTGGTTTTAGAATACACGGGTGAGACAACGACCAAGGAAGGACAAGTTGGGGGAGGGGTGAAAGTTGTATGAGATCGAACCTTCTATATGTCGTTGCGCGAAGTTTCCCACTCGCACAGCTAAATGTCTGCGCCAGATTGACAAGGGGGCACTGTGGGGGGCGAGGGCCTCTGGCTCGGGGTCCCCGCACCCGACACAACACACTCCCTTATGCAGACCCCCAGTCTCAGTCTCAAGGTCCGGCTGGCCGGGCGGGGCCTCGTCAGGGCTTGGTGCCCCTCTGCGTGGAGCTCTCCGGCGCCCCCTGCCCTGCCGTGGCCCTGCAAACCGCGGCCCCTGCTGCTGCCGCGGCTGAACCGTTTCGCCCATAAATACTTGAGGCGGCGGTAATGCCGTGCGAGTCAGCGGCAGGCCGGAAGGGGGGGGGGGGGCGCCAAGTTCATGTCCGATGTTGTTGGCTCCCGGCCCGGCTCTGGGTCGTGCTCGCTCGAGCTTGAAACCGGAGAATTGATTGAAAGGGTTTCTAATGAAATGAGAATCGGCCTTTTTTTTTACAGTGGTTCAGGGAGGCTGCTTTTTCTTTCGATCTGTTTGAAATTTTTGACTTCGTAGTGCAACAACCGATGGATGATTTGTTCCTTTGCGCTACGCAGTCACACCCAGAAGACCGTTTAGTCCAGAGGACCAAATTGAAAACAGACGAAATTTTAGCTCTGGAGACTAAAATTTTATCCGTCGCGATGAAATAATTTGGTCTAGCTGACTTAATTTGATTGCTTCGACTTTATTTAGTTAAAAATGGGGTCACTAAATTTTAGTCGGTTTTAGGAGCTAAATTTTGTTTCTTACAACCCTGATTTAGTTGTATCAACCAAATGGTTCTCTGGGTGCAGAATTTGCATTCAATGTGAATGTTGCTGCTAACAAAAGTTTTCAGCCCCTACCCTCTTCTCCCCCCTCACTCTACCGTCGAAAAGGTCTATTAATATCACAATTGTAGGGAAAAAAACGATAAACATTCCCACTTTTCCAACAGTTTTTGTTAGAACACAACTATGACATCGGTATCACTACCTGAAATTGCACCTTCCGATATACGAACATCGTGTTGCATTTGCAGCTGCACTCACCACCGACACCGACACGCAAATCGCATGTTCGGTTCAGTTCGAGTCCTAGCCCGCGAAGCTCGGCCACGACACGAGGGGGGAGGGCGGCGAGCATGGGGTGAGCGGAGAGGTCGGAAGGGG